AGCACCCTCCCTGCGGGCTCCCAGGACTATTCATGCAATCTGATGGAAACTGTGGCTGGCTCAGACATCAGGCAGGAAAGAACCTAAACTCCTTGCAGACAGCAGGTCAAGGTTTCCTTTTAAAGAAGTTACTTTTGAAAAATCAATGAATTTTCCTAACAATGAGCCTACAGATTTGTGTGTCGGGACAGACACTGGTTATTCATGATACTATGTGAGAAAGTTCCATGTAACATGGGAACAAGGTAAGTGTGGACATTGCTGCCTAATACCCATCTTTTCTCCAAAGAACATGAACAGCATGAACAGGTGTTATCCTATTTTACAATGGGAGATTTTTAAGACTTCAAGAACAAACAGCTGCACTCATTATCATGAAATGGCCCCCAAGATGGGAAGAATGTCCATCTCTCCCTCTACTTACTTCCTTCTTACTACCTTCCTTTCAAATCCAGAGGGAAGAAAACACCTTTTGCAGAATGAGCTCTTTTTCACCATGCAGATCCTTGTTAGAGATTCATCTATTCAAACACAGCAAAATCTAGAGGAGAAATCATTTTCTAGTAGTATTCCAAACTGAACTTGGAAATAGTCTACATGCAGTAATGAGATCCAGCAGTAATCCTGTAAATTTGAAATCATCCCTTTGGGTAGATAGGATTTCGCCACTATATCAAATGGCCCAAAACGTATTATACTAATGGTTAACCAGACTGGTACTTAAGAAAGACATGATTTCTTTTTTTTTTTTTTTAAAGATTTTTTATTTATTTATTTGATAGAGAGAGAGAGAGAGAGAGCACAAGCAGGGGGAACAGCAGAGGGAGAGGGAGAAGCAGGCTCCCCGCCAAGCAGGGAGCCCGATGCGGGGCTCGATCCCAGGACCCCGGGACCACAACCCGAGCCGAAGGCAGACGCTTAACCATCTGAGCCACCCAGGCGCCCCGAAAGACATGATTTCTGGTCAGCTATGAGAAGTACTAGCTAGACCTAAAATGGTGAAAGCAGCTCATTTCAATGCCATCCATCAATTCAACATTTTTAAAAAGGTCTTTTTAATTTATTTTTTAAAGATTTTTATGTATTTATTTGACAGAGAGAGACAGAGCGAGAGAGGGAACACAAGCAGCGGGAGTGAGAGAGGGAGAAGCAGGCCTCCCACGGAGCAGGGAGCCCAATGCGGGGCTCGATCCCAGGACCCTGACATCATAACTGGAGCCAAAGGCAGACGCTTCACTGACTGAACCACCCAGGCGCCCCTGGAGTCATCTTTTCAAAAATAAGTAAGATCACTCACTAATAAGAGTCAGAGAAGCCAAAAGGGAAAGCTCTAAAGGAGAAATATTGGTCATTATGGTTTGACTTCAAGGAGCACCTTATCTACAACTAACTGCCAATGAAGATGTTCACACTGTTTAACCCGGCATCCTTGGATGTAAGTTAAAGAATGTCACTCAGTGGAGGGGCGCCTGGGTGGCTCAGTCGTTGAGCATCTGCCTTTGGCTCAGGTCATGATCCCAGGGTTCTGGGATCGAGCCCCGCGTCGGGCTCCCTGCTCGGCGGGAAGCCTGCTTCTCCCTCTTCCACTACGCCTGCTTGTGTTCCCTCTCTCGCTGTGTCTCTCTCTGTCAAATAAATAAATAAAATCTTAAAAAAAAAAAAAGAATGTCACTCAGTGGAAACAAAAACATGCATGCAAACGTGCGCGGGCTTAGGGAGACACCCAGCTCCACCCCTGGGGACGGTCCTGACTCCCTGCCACGCTGGCTCCAGCCTCCTGGTCTGGGATAAAATGTGTAATGGTCCTCCTCCCCAAGGGGTGCTATAAAGATGAAATGTAAAGCCTAATAGATACCAGTTATTATAATCCATGAAAATGAAGACTTGAGGCCAAACAATTAAATAGACAATATAATCAGGATAATTTTTAAAGTCACAGTGTATCAATATACAACATAATGCCACATTATGCAGTCATTCAAAATAATGGTATATATGTAGAAAAAAAGCAAAAATGTTCATGATGCATTATATTAAAACACCACAAATATGCATTTGCCTACTGATATTCTTTCTTTCTGGAAGTTTAAAAGGTTTCCCAATTTCCTAAAATGTCATTTTAATGTAATTACAAAATGCTTCAAGAGAGCATGGTGTTTGCAGTTCTTCCTAGGAGAACATCTGACTCAGATGTGTGCTTGTAATTCTCCCTAAAATAAAAGGAACACTACATATTGCAAGATATTATTTAATGTGTATCTGTATCACCTATAATTTACTCTGTAAGTTACTGTAATTTCTGATTAAAAAAGGGAACAGAATTCAAACTACAGGTATGACGGACTATACAAAAGACATATAATTAGCAGTGAGTGAATAAAACAAAAGGACCCAATCATAACACAAAAAGGAAATACAAGGATCCTCCACTAGTGACACAAAGTCTAAGAATGAAGTTGAGTCTAAGACTGCTTCTGTCTACTTCCTAATTCTTTCTTCCACCCTGGCATGCTTCCAGGTGCTTGGGATACAACAGTAGCCAAGAAAATTCTTGCCCTCGCGGAGCTTACATTCTAGTGTGAAATGAAAGAAAACAAGCAAATACATAAAATGTTAGATGCTGGTAAACGCTATGGAAAAACAGTAAAGCAGGGACCGTGGTGGGAATGAAGAGGGGAAGGGGAGGACGGACTTTGTAATTTTAAATGAGGTGGACAAGACAGACCTCAAGAGGACGATATTCCTGAGAAGAAGTCAGCTAGTGAGCTCTGCAGGTATCTGGGGGAAAACCTTTCCAAGGAGAGAAAAGCCAGTGCAAAGGCCCTGAGGCAGGATAACATGGTGCGAGGTTGAGGAGCAGCAAGGGGGCCATGTGGTTGGAGGACAGGCATTCAAAAAAGTAACAGGAAGCCAGGTTATGTGGGTTCATATCTCATGATTCACTCAAGAAACAGAATTTATTCCAGAGTTCTTGTTTGGAGTGTTGGCTAAATTTCTAAGCTATATGGGTGAATGAAGGTCAGTCAAGAGACACAAAGCACTGAGCAGAGAAACAAACAGGAAGAAGGTATAAACTTTGCAAGGCTGAGGGCCACTGGGTGGCTCAGTTGTTAAGTGGCTGCCTTCAGCTCAGGTCATGTTCCCAGGGTCCTGGGATCGAGCCCTGCATCGGGCTCCCTGCTCTGCGGGGAGCCTGCTTCTCCCTCTCCAACCCCCCCCCCCACTTGTATCCCCTCTCTCGCTGTTTTTCTCTCTCTCTGGCAAATAAATAAATAAAATCTTAAAAAAAACAAAACAAAACTTTGCAAGGCTGAGGGAAGTTCAAGAACCCAGGGAAGCAGTCCAACATCATGTTCAGATTTATTGTATTGACTTTATGATTAAATTACGTATTTGTGCTTCATTCTGAACCTTAGTATTCTGTTTCACTGCTTCCTTTCCATCAAAGAAAAGATCTTTAGGGGCGCCTGGGTGGCTCAGTTGTTAAGCATCTGCCTTCGGCTCAGGTCATTGATCCCAGGGTCCTGGGATCGGGCCCCGCATCCGGCTCCCTGCTCAGTGGGAGGCCTGCTTCTCCCTCTCCCTCTCCCTCTGCCCTGCTGCTTGTGTTCCCTCTCTCGCTGTCTCTCTGTCAAATATATAAATAAATAAAATCTTAAAAAAAAAAAAGATCTTTAATGAATGGTCTGGAAGATGCTGTCATCTAATTTGGGGCTCTAGTGTAGGGTTTCCTAGTCTGGGCACTACTGACATTACGGACCAGGTTCTTCTTTGTTGAGGAGGCTGTCCTGTGCATTGTAGGATGTTTACCAGCATCTCTGGGTTCTACCCACCAGATGCCAATGGCAACCCCCCCCACACACACACATCTAATCTAAGCAAAACTATCTCCAGATACTGGCAAGTGTTGCTGGGGTGGAGAGAAAAATTGTGCCCAGTTGAGATCCACTGCTCTAATGTGAACAGATAAGAATTTCATCTCAGTTTATAAACCTATGTGGTTTTTTTTTCAAACGAACAGGTTGATCTTAAGGCATATATCTGTTCCTAACTACTAAACATACCCAAAGCCATGTGTTACCTGTTTATAGCGTAGTAAGAAGTAAACTCATCAGATGTTCCAAATACCTTCCTGTCTCAGGGCCTTTGCACTGGCTGCTACCTCTATTGCTTGTCCCAGGCAACTCCTCCTCATCCTTTGAGTCCTATTAAAATGTTAGCTGTTAAGGGCCCCGGGAAGCTTCTCCCTGATCCTGAGCCCGAGCATGTTAGGTATTCCTATCACCTCCTTCTATAGCACCGGTATAGAAAAAAAAGCTTCCCTGCTCCGCAGGAAGCCTGCTTCTCCCTCTCCCACTCGCCCTGCTTGTGTTCCTGCTCTTGCTCTCTCTCTGTCAAATAAATAAATAAAACCTTAAAAAAAAAATTATGATGCACTGCATAACCGGTCAGAGAACAATGACACAGACCACAGCTTAGAAATAAATACTTTAGGACAAAACCTTGACTATGAATATACTTTGTGTGAGTGTACCTTTTTCTCCTTTGTTAACAATAAGAGCTATGCAAAGATGATAATGAAGGCAGGAGGAGCAAAAAGGGCCTCTTCGTTAGATGATGAAGGAGCCAAAGAACAGAGTAGATGGAGCTGAGATCATCTTTCCGGCTTTTATGAACACTTTATAAGCATTTATTTGAATATTATTTATTCCACACCACACATACCATCTTATACTGCTTACTCTTTTTATGTCTGATATCCTCAAATATATTTAAATTCCTCAAAGGCATTAGTATCCTGGGGGTCCTCAGATAAGTTTCAGTGTCTGAGAGACCCTTATAAAGACCCAGAAGCACCTTCTAAGAACAGGGTCCATAACTTTTATACAATTCAGTTTAAGACCCACCACCTTATATGACTCTATTTAATTTGAAAGCTTCTAGGATATTCCCATTACCCCTGGTCCATCTCTTAGTAAGAAAAAACAAACTTTTGTTACCGATTTCCTCTCCTGCTTCAGTTCCTGGACGTAGCGGGCTAACTCCACAGTGATGTTCGAGGTCATGTTCTCGGAGATAACTTCATGCTGCCCAGCGTAATCATTCATTTCATTCAGGGTGGAAAGGAAAGCTTTACAAGCCGTATACCTATGGAAATGAACACACACCGCTCTTTTTCAAACAAGGTGCCCTCTGTTTGAACACTGTATGCGCTGACGAAACATTAATTAAAATGCCATTAATTAAACATTTAATTAATGTCCATCAACGTCCCATAGGATCCTGACAGTTCATTACTCATGAAAGTGTTCTCATCAAAATGGCTCAGAATTAATTACAACTGAAACACTTTGCATTTTGTGACACCGAATCACTCTACATAAGGCAGTATTTGGCTTTGTTAATATCTGGTCCAAATATGACCCCAAATACCGATACATACTAAATACGCACTAATGAAATGCATGTTTAGATCCAAATTAGAAATATAATACTTTTGGGCTGTCCGTATTAAGGTGCCTAAGTTGCTGACTGAAATGGACATATTTCTCAGTGAAAGAGACTCCTGGTATTACAAAAGCAAATCAAGACTGTGGAATGCATAATCCACACTTCCTGTATTTGCTTAGATTATATTCTAAGCTTTTCCCAATTACCTTAATTGAAACAATCCAGAATAGGTCTAGTGACTCGGCATAAGTTAGCTGAGTAGGGTTTTTATTGTTCTTGCTGCCAATTTAAAAACTAGCACAAATATGAATGGGGAATGCTGCTTATTTTTTGTAGATTTCCTTTCTCCTTTCCTTCAGACATCATCATGACCAGCATAAAGATACCAGCACATAATTATCAGCATTAAACAGACCTGTATTCTTCTTCCTCCTTCGAGTTCTTTTTAGGTTGGTATTTCTTTGCGAGGTTCCTGAAACAAAAATGCAGAAATGTCACCTTCTGTAGAAAGATGATTAAGAAATCAGGAATGAAAGATGAAGTCAGTGCTTTCATGTACAAGTAAAAAAAAAAAAAAAAAATCACAAAATGTCCACAGCTGAAATCTGTTTATTTCCTTCCTTTTTTTTTTTTTTTTTAAGTCAACTCTATACCCAACGTGGTGCTAGAACTCATGACCCCGGATTAAGAGCATGCTCTTCCGACTGAGCCAGCCAGGTGCCCCTTGCTTCCTTCCATCTTTCTACATGGGTGATAAAGCTCTGGTTATGAAGGACTTGCATTGCTTTGAATCTCTGACCTCAAAGGTAGAGCACATTAGAAGAGAAAGGGGCACTAGCTGGTGCTAACCTGGCTGTTATGACCTGACTTTATTTTTTTTTTTTAATTTTTTTATTGTTATGTTAATCACCATATATTACATCATTAGTTTTTGATGCAGTGTTCCATGATTCATTGTTTGTTCATAACACCCAGTGCACCATGCAAAATGTGCCCTCCTCAATACCCATCACCAGGCTAACCCATCCCCCCACCCCCCTACCCTCTAGAACCCTCAGTTTTTCAGAGTCCATCATCTCTCATGGTTCGTCTCCCCCTCTGACATACTCCCCTTTTCTTCCTCTTCTGTTATCTTCTTCTTTTCCTTTTTTCTTAAAATATGTTGCGTTATTTGTTTCAGAAGTACAGATCTGTGATTCAACAGTCTTGCACAATTCACAGCGCTCACCGTAGCACATACCCTCCCCAATGTCTATCACCCAGCCATCCCATCCCTCCCACCCCCAACCACTCCAGTAACACTCAGTTTGTTTCCTGAGATTAAGAATTCCTCATATCAGTGAATGACCTGACTTTAATTGGAGAGTACAGACCATGTGTACAAAACGCAGGCGATTTCATCTGTAGCACCGAGCTGAGGGCGAGTTTCCCTCCAGGCCACCGTTCCCTCCTGATCATCTTCACGACGATCCAAGGAAAGTATGTGGACTATGTCCAAATGTTCAAATTAAAAATCCAAATGCCGGGCGCCTGTGTGGCTAAGTCGGTTAAGCATCTGACTCTTGGTTTTGGCTCAGGTCATGATCTCGGAGTCGTGGAACTGAGCCCCTTCAGGCTCTGCACTTAGCGGGAAGTCTGCTTGGGATTCTCTCTCTCTCTCCCTCTGCTCCTCCCACTCGTGTTCTTTAAAATAAATAAATAAATCTTAAAAAAAAAAAAAAGTCCAAGTGCCAAGGGCATGTTGGCAAGGCTGTGTGGCTACTCCCCTAAAGAGGAATGAAAAGGAAAGGAATTTGGGGGCTGTTCATGCTAAGACATTTAATAAGGAGGCCTTTTAACCTGCCCAGCAGGTTTGCACTGAACACACTCAGATGAGACAAAATCACTCACATCTCTCTTCCTAATCTCACCTCTGGGTCAAGAATCCAGACAATCTCTACATTCAAGATGCTTAAATTTACACAAAAACCAGGAGGTAAGCCTGGAAAAACAAAACTCACTAACATGGGTCCCATCGGCTGATTTCTCGTGGGACCTGACTTTGGTGGCTGTAGTTTTAGGGAAATAGCCAGAAGAGGCTGACTAATGGTCCACAGTGGGGGTCCTCACTTGACCACATCTCAGTATTCACTTCCCTGTTTACCCCGTGTTTCTATTCCTCTTTCTAGTAGCTACTTTCATTATTTCACATTTTCTTGTATTCCCCCTGAATCTAAAGATTCACCTAGAAAAAAATGTACCATCATAAGTTTACAATTTTGATCATGGTACATTTTACATACAAAGTGGATGTGATTTCATCTCTGACCAGTGTTACTAGATGATTTGAGGCAATGGACTTCAGTAAAAAGGACATTGCTCTGGGATGGCGTGAGCCCAGACAAACTAACAAGCAAGTCTGTGCATCCAGCTCCTCATCTGTGAGTTCAAGGGGATCAGATGAAATGACCTCTATTGCCCCTTCAAGTTTTCTGAGGGAATATGTAACATCCAAGAACATTGACTGTTGCAATTTAAAGTGAAGATACAGGGGTGCCTGGGTGGCTCAGTTCGTTAAGTATCTGCCTTGGGCTCAGGTCAGGATCCCAGGGTCCTGGGATTGAGTTCCACATCAGGCTCCTTGCTCAGTAGGGAACCTGCTTCTCCCTCTGTCTGTTGCTCCCCCTGCTTCTGCTCTTTCTCTGACAAGTAAATAAATAAAATCTTTTAAAAAAGGAAATAAATGAAATAAAATGAAGATATGAAGGGCACCTGGGTGGCAGACTCAGTAGAGCATGGGACTCTTGATCTTGGGACCTTGAGTTCAAGCCCCACACTGGGCATAGAGCTTACTTATAATAATAATAATAATAATAATAAATGTCATCTTTTTTCTGATACTCTGGATGCATAGTACAGTTTACCTAATAAGTCTAGATCCAAAAGAATGCTGAAAAATAGCATTTCCTTTAAAAATGTGGCTTAGGGGGGGCGCCTGGGTGGCTCAGTCGGTTAAGCGTCTGCCTTCGGCTCAGGTCATGGTCCCAGGGTCCTGGGATCGAGTCCCGCATCGGGCTCCCTGCTCCTCGGGAGCCTGCTTCTCCCTCTGCCTCTCTCTCTCTCTCTGTCTCTCATGAATAAATAAATAAAATCTTTAAAAAAAAAAAAATAAAAAAATAAAAATGTGGCTTAGGGGCACCTGGCTGGCTCCGATGGTAGAGCGTACAACTCTCGATCTCAGGATTGTGAGCTCAAGCCCCCAATAAAATCTTTTAAATAAATAAATAAATAAAGTGGCTTAAAGAAAAAAATAATTCAAAGGAGAGAAATCTTGTTTGTTGAAAGCACAGTACAGTTCTTTCAGTTGGTTTACCACAGTCACTCCTTAAAATGTAGATTTAGTAAAAACAGTCCATCCTACTCACAGCTGGCAGGGATGGAAAGGGGAGCACATGGAAAGCAGATGACCATATAACCAATAGGTTCTTTTCCACAGATGCGTAGAGTAGCATATATGGGATTTTTTGGTAGAGAGGAAGAGGAGTGGGGGGACTGGCAGAGGCAGAGAGAATCTCCAGCGGGCTCCATGCCCAGTGAGGAGCCACACGTGGGGCTCGATCTCACAACCCTGAGATCATGACCTGAGCTGAAATCAAGAGTCAGATGCTTAGCCGACTCAGCCACCCAGGCGCCCCAACATGTGAGATATTTTTAATGCACAGTTTTAAATATTAACCATTTCTCCTATTAACTATAAATTACAAATTGAAAATATCACTTTGAAATTCACATCTTATATAAAAATTCTTTTGAAACTGTTATTGTAAAGGTTTAATTAAATCCACATTTTCTGGGGCACCTGGCTGGCTCAGTCAGAAGAGTGTGCGACTCTTTTTTTTTTTTAAACATTTTATTTATTTGACAGAGAGAGACACAGTGAGAGAGGGAACACAAGCAGGGGGAGTGGGAGAGGGAGAAGCAGGCCTCCCGCTGAGCAGGGAGCCCGATGCGGGACTCGATCCCAGGACCCTGGGACCATGACCTGAGCCGAAGGCAGACTTAACGACTGAGCCACCCAGGCGCCCCGAGTGTGCGACTCCTGAACTCGATTTCGGGGTCGTGAGTTCAAACCCGAGGTGGGGTGTAGAGACTACTTAAATAAAACAAAACAAAAAAAAAACCCCACTTCATATTTAAAAAAAATAAATTAAAAAATTCATAAATCCACATTTTCTTTTTAGCTTCCAGTCCTAAGCCTTCATAAAAATAATTTAAATTTTATATCCAGTTGAAGGAAACATAGCTTGAATATAGAAAGTTAAAACCAGCACTCTTTTTAGTTCCTTCTTACCAATCCAATCCTAAACAGGATGAAAGACCACAGGGGGTGTGGGGGGCGGAATATTCTGTTGTGGGTGACAGCCTGTGGAGACCCTCACGTTGTGATGAATAAGTCTCACTTTGACCATGTTAGCATATACAGCATTCAAAATGCTTCTTAAAAGCACCAATGAATAATTCACTCTACAAATGCCAGCAGAAAACTAAAAGCATAAGAGGTCTGGAAGGGAAATTCAGGATTTTTCTCTCAGGGACCACTAGAAAGAAAGATCAACTTTCATTTCCATTCTCTAGAGATGGGCTTTCTTGCCCCTATTTTGTATGAGGTTACTTAAAAAACAAGCAAGAAAACAAACCACAAAGAGCAGCTTTAAATTTATGGGATCTTTCTGAGAAATTTTAAGTGTTTTATATATTAAACTTGCTCTTCAGACAGGCTAATTAAAAGGTAAGAGAAAAATATAATCCTCTCATAAGGATACTGGATTTTAGCTTGGTTGATCCAAAGAGCCACAGGGAAGCTTTTTAAAAAGGAGATACCTGGGCCCAGTTCCAGGCCCTCCGAAATGGAAGGTCCAGGGTTGGGTCCAGGAATGTTTTGTTTTTTCTATCTTTCTTTTTTTTAAAAGCTCACCACAAGATTTCCGGATAAAGACAGCAGAATAAAATTCAATCAGAGAATTGTGCTTTCCCTACAAGAGGTGAGAATTAAAAGCCAGGACAATTTTCAACAGCAGAAAACAAGCCAATGAAGAAAGAAGCATAACTTCAGTCTACGCACTTCGAAAAGCGGCAACCATGGTGAGGGATGGAAGATTCTGGGACCGCATGGATGGATGCTGCCCCCACCCTCACTGCCACTTTGGCAGGGGGGTGGAGTAGGGTAGGAAAGCTCTGAGAAGAAGACACACAGGCCGACCACCCAGGTTCCAGAATTCGGGCAGGAACAGGGGTCACCACCTGGATCCTCACTCTCCAGGGCTCCAAACTGGATGCCTGTGGAAGCTCATCCCTAACCTAGGCATTCCAAAGGAACAGGATATATCTCTCAAACAGAACCTCTAACAAAGTTCTGGAACACGCTCAGAGTCTCAAAGACAAAATGTACAGAACCAGGCCCTTTGCCTCACCCTTACCCCACAATGGAGCTCA